AAGACCTCTTTTAGCTTCCTGCCCTACACCTCAAAAAAAACCATGTAAAGACTACTACTCATCCCCACTCTCACCCTGGTAATCAGGTGTATTATGCCAAATGTCAAGAAATAATTACTCTTAATACGAGAGGCCAAGGTCGGAATAAATAGGATTAGATGCATCATCCCCAGCAGCCTCCTCACCAGAAGATGCTTCCTCCCCAGCACTCGTCTAACCTTGGATACTCCTGTGGTCTTCTCACTCTGCAGGATGTCTCTGTTCCTATAGCCTCCCTGGTACATCTATTCAAGGAAGTGCTTGAGCCAGCCCTATTCAACTCCTCTCCCAGATCCACTCCTGATTCTTTGGATTTCTTTACCTTAGCCTCGACTAGATACCTTCACACCTGCTTACTTTTCATCTCCTTTTTCTGTGCCGTCTTCCCCTATTTGAATGTAAGCTCCTTCAAGGCAGGGACTGTCTTTTTTCTTGTTTTCATGGGTGGCATTTAGTAAGCATTTAATAAATGTTTTATTTGACTTATCTATCTTAGCTACTCAAATCAAATGCTATTTACACAAACAGCAAATAGTAAGTAAATACATTTATTCAAGCAAAATAGGAAACAGAAATTGGAGAAGTTATGCAGATGAATATGCTGATGAATGCACAAGAGGGAATAAGTTCTTTGGTTGGGAACAAAATGAAATTTCAGTTCAGACCAAGGAAGAAAAAGTCTGATCTTACCTAAAGATGCCCATTCTAGCAGTCCCTAGGGTGGCAAGATGAAATCAGAGACACATGGAAGATCTGGCTTCCTCTACATTACTACCATTTCTCTTTCCACACATCTCTTATAAAGAGTTTCTTGCGGGGAGAGAAATGTGTGGTTCCAGAAACTCTCAGGTACCATCTGGCAGCTTTGTGGTCTACTGCCCCATTAGAGATCAAAGATTTGGGGTAGACAGAGGAGGAAAACTGGGCACAAGGGTGATGTTTCAGGATAAGGAGTGTTCACCAGAACTAGGAGCAAGATCAAAAGCAAATACCAGTGGTGTGGCTCAGACCACAGGAGCAAAGCAGTTTCAGCCTCTAGCCCAGTCTGAAGCCTGCAGAAGAATAACCCAGGCAGGAACCCCAGACCCAAAGGGAATCTGTAGTTCTACTGTTCTGAACCAGTAGCTCTTCTCAGCTACCTGAGAGGAACTAAGACCAGCATGAGTTTACTGTTGCTCAAACTCAAACCCAGGTCACGGTCTTGCAGAGATCAGGCTGGGGAGAGGAAAGGGGCTACAAAGTGGATCAAACCCCTTTAGGTGCATGGAAAGCTTACAGTTCCCTAGCCTGAGCTGTCCCAGAGAGCCTGGAATAGCACCATACTCAATTCTCCAAGAAAGCAGCAGTAAAACTAATGTAGACCTTCCCTCTAGAAGTGCAAAGATTCTAATCCTAATATCAACTTTGAAGTCAAGAAATAGGCTGGTAGAAAAAACAAACAAAAAAGAAAACCACCATAAAAAAACTATTATGCTGACAGGGATACTCAAGTCACAAACCCAAAAGAAAACAATGACTCTAAAAAACCTATAAGCAAAGCCTCAAAGAAAAATATAGTTTGGGCACAAATTAAAATACAATTATATAGAACATGTTTTAGAATGTTTAAAAAGAGTTTAAAATGGTTTTGTCAATGAAATGAGAAAGCTAGAAGGAAAAAATGGAAAAGAAAGAGAGCTATGGAAGAAAGAATTGGAAAGGGAATTGATAGCTTGGCATAAGAGATACAATACCAAGGGGAAAAAACTCTCCCTGAAAATTTGAATGGATCAAAGAAAAGCCAATGACTCCATGAGATAAGAAATATTAGAACAATGAAGAAAATATAAGGTAGCATAAACATAGCAAAAATTACTGACCTGGAAACAGATTGGAGAGGAAAAAAGTAAGGAATCATTAGAACACCTGAATACCATGACCAAAAAAAGAGCCCAGACATCATATTTCAAGAAACATTAAAAGAAATTTGCCTAAGTTTCCAAGAACCAGAAAACAAAGAGCAGATCTGTGTAGAAAGTTTGAAGCTCAAACACAGCAGCTAAGACAAATATAAAAAAAGGCAAAGATGAATAAATAAGAATGGGGAGAAATGTGGAATGTCAAGTGTAGGGAAATGAGGATAAACTGTCCAAATTCAAATATAGCAAAGTGATACGTGTGTCTCCTTTAAACACCATCATCAGCATGGATCATTGAGGAGGCTAATTAGAACAGGCCTGGGAGCAGTTCTGCTATGTTTTGATGATCCTAAGAGAAGAATGGAAAGAAAGAGGAAGAAGAATATACTGGGAAGCCCATAGGGAGAAAGGAAAATTAGGAAAAGTTACCTCACATTATCAGGGTGGGCGAGTGTACACAAATATACAAACAAGGAGGATTGAGTGGGGGCAGGGAGCAGCTAATACTTGAACCTGACTCTCATATAAACTGGTCTGAGGAGAGAAGACCACACATGCGTGAGTACAGAAATACATTTCACTCAACAGGAGAGTAGGAGGAAAAGTGGAGAAGGAAGTAGAGGGAAGTAGATTAAAGGAGGGCTTAATCCTAAAAAACAAATTCTAACCAAAGTTGTACAAAAATATTTATAGCTCCTTTTGAGGTGGCCAAGAACGGGAATCTGAGTGGGTATCTATAAATTGGTGAATAGCCAAACAAGTTATTGTATATGTATTGTAGAAAAATAATTAAAGGGATAATTTCAGAATGACCTGGGAATACTTTATATAAAATGATGCAGAGTACAGTGAATAGAACCAAGAGAACAATCATATGATGACAAAATAAGGTAAAAACAAACAATTTTTTGTTTTGAGAGGCAATCAGGGTTAAGTGGCTTGCCCAGGGTCACATACTAGTAAGTGTCTTGAGGTTGGATTTGAATTCAGGTCCTCTTGACTCCAGGGTCAGTGCTCTATCCACTGCACCACCCAGCTGACCCAGACAATTTTGAAAGAATTAAAGACGGCTCAGTAAAATGACCAAGATTATTCTAGAAGACTAATGATGAAACATACTACCATCTCTTGAGAGGTGAAGGACTCAGTATGCATGCACATGCGCATACACTCATGCACATATATACACATATGTATGTATATACATATATATGTTTTATACGTATATTCACACAAATAGTGTGTTTTTATCTTGCATGTGTATATATGTACATGTATATGTGTATTTATCTTGATATAGATAGATAAACAGATATAAATATACATGGCCAATGCAGAACTTTTTTTTAACTTGACTATACATATTGGTAACAAGGGTTTTGTTATTCTTTCAATTTCAATTGAGGGAGAAAGATTGGAGGAGGGGCTGGGAGAGATTTTTGCTTTGATTAAAATATAACATTTAATTTCTAAAATGTCTAAAAATTCTGTGATTCTTAGGTTACCTGCCTCCCCCAATCTTTTTTTTTTTTGACCACTGTTACCACAGAAGCAGAGAAATGGCTACACAGGAGTGGAGATTATTTTGTATTCATCTTTGTTTTGCGCATCACTATGGCCAAAGAATCCATCACTCAATGGGCAGCCCACTGGTACTCAGCCTCTCCCAACTTAGTAAGGCTGGTCCTAGCACAGCTTGTCACAGGGATCACACTTGAAATCTTTCCATCTTAATAGAACCTGACAGATCTTGTGCTTTGCTCTGCTAGCTTTTGAGACTCAAGACTAGTGTTCACATTACAATATTGCATCAGAATAAGACTTTTATGGAAATAAACTTTGCTTTATAAAGTGCGTACTTAATTTTTAAAATTGAATTGTCTGAGCTAAGAAACAGAAAACTGAAAGGAAATGGGAATAAACAAAGGGCATACTTGTAAAGCTGGGAAAATTCTAATAATTACAGATAGTAGTAACTATATATACACTCCAATCCCATTACAAAAATTACTTTTGATATATCATTGATCAGTTTCTTCCATTGGAGTACTATACAGGTATACTCATACTACATTCCAGTTTGAGATTAAGCTAAATGACGTTCACCGTTTGTTTTGTTTTATTGTTGAGTCATTTCATTCATATTTGACTCTTTGTAACCCAGTTCGGGGTTTTTTTTTGGCGAAGATACTGGAGTGATTTGCTATTTCCTTCTCTAGCTCATTTTATAGAAAAGGAACTGAGGCAAACAGGGTTACATGACTTGCCCAGGACCACATAGCTAGTAAGTGTCCGAGGCAAGATTTGAACTCAGGTCCTTTTGACTCCAGGCCTGATACTCTATCTGCTGTACCACCTAGCTACTCTGTTTAATTATGGTAGCTTTTGTCTGCTACATTGCAATAACTGAGCATATTTCATCAGTGTTGACTACCTGATAATCTTACTACAACAGATAGTAAGACCAATAAAATACTTCTCATTGTGGAATAGAAAAAGGTTAATAGGCCTTTCAGGCTCTTTCTCCCACGAGGGTTAGAGGAAAAAATTATTTCTATTCGAATCAAATTAATAAAAAGAAAAGAAAATTCTTGAACACAAATTATTCATAGATTATTTCAAAACAAAGTAGGGAAAAATCTTAAAACAACATCATTAAAAATTGAAGTAGTGATTGAGATTTTCTAAATCTTAGTTTTAGAAGTTATTTCAGTCATATTTTATTAATTTCCACTATGAAAAAAATAATGAGACATCACAACTCAAGGTATATCATCATTTAGTATCCATAAAACATTTTATTTGTGGGGAAAAAACAATTTGTCATTTTCCATTGTCAAAAAGCATGATATCTTTCTGCATTTTTATATACAGGGTATATGTACATTTAGAAATTGAACTATTTATCCTTGCTTACCAAATGACATAGGAAACAAATTTTAACTCTTTGCTGCTGAGTTGAGTACTTATGACTTTCAGTTTAATTTTCTCATGTCTGTATTATAACCTTCCCCAAACAAAATAATGTGAATAATGCTTCTTATTTATCTTTTGCTTCTACAGGAGGAATTTTTGAAACTGCAGAAAATGAACCAATTAATGTTGAAGAATTAGCTTTCAAGTTTGCAGTAACCAACATTAACAGAAACCGAACACTTATACTTAATAACACATTAACTTATGATATCCAGAGAATTAATCTTTTTGATAGTTTTGAAGCCTCAAGAAGAGGTAAATATTTTCACACTTTAAAATTCTTCGTTTAGTAGCATGTTTACTTGGTATATACACTATTTTAAAGGATAGTATTATATGAATGTTTTGTAAGAAAATTCAGTTTTTCATATCATGGATGAATTTATTAAACTAATTGATGCTTCACATTTCTGCTTGCCACAGTTTTCTAATTAATTATCTCAATTGTAAATAGAAAGCATCAGGTCTGAAGTGCTGAATTATTTCTTGAAGAAGGACTCCTACCAGCTCTAATTGAGAGCTAGCCGATTGTAAAATTTTTAGGGTGAGCATTTACACCTTGGAAATGAGCAAATATTATACAAAGATAAAATTCTACAGTGCAGTCAAATAAAACTTTGTGAAAGATTATTATTATTATTATTCTCATATGCTCAACTCTCCTTGACATTGTTCATATGATATAAATTTTTAAAGCTGCAAAAATATTAGGTCAAATTGTGCCTCCTTAATTTTTTCTCTTTCCCCAAATATCAGGAAAATATTAGAATTCAATATGTTAAACAAACACTGCCACTTTCCCCCCTTCCTGGGCAGATTTTAAGTATATGATTTATCTAATCTACTTAATTCCTTTGGAACTGTCAAGTGTGCTTAAAAATATGAACATACACATATGAGGTTAGTCCTCTAAAGTATGACACTACAATGCAATTATATGTGTTGTTAAATGCTTAACAACTGCCTCTCTAACATATTTGATAATGTGTATTTGGTAGTATAAGGTCAGTATATATTACAAATACATATGTATATATATGTGTGTGTGTATGAGTGTATATATTCATATATGTTGTGGGTGTATATATATACACCCCTACATATATATATATATAAAATAAGTGTAATAATTGATATATATATATATATACATATATAGTCAAGACGGATGTGAGATGAAGTCCGTCTCTCCTCCCCTACCCCTCTCCCCTTAGCATGAGGTTGATTTGGATGGCTTCAAAGGAGATAGAATAGACATCTCTAGCCTCTTCTCCCCCAACTTTCTCCAAAGGAAGCTTTAATTCCTTTCAGGAGAAAAGTAGAGAGTTGGAGCTGGAGGCCACTCTGCTCTCCTCAGAGAAGGAGTACTGGTCTAGAATTATATCTAAGCCCCCTAAATATTATTAGGCTAGGGGGAACAATCATGTTCAATATAATTTCTGACCCTTGTGTCATTCTAGGAGGGAATGAGGAACCCAAGCTCTATATCCAAGGTTTCACCCTTTTCTTACCAAATACCAGTTCCACAATGAACACTCACACAAATAGCAAAGAAACCCATTTATCCAAATCATGGCCAAATAGAAATGAGAGAACATGGAGACAATATGCCAGACTTATCCCAGATAATACAGAGTGAAGGAGATCTCCCTTTAGGAATGAGGTAGCTCAGCTCCACCAAGAGAGATTGCAACCAAGGGAAAATTTCTCTGCAGGCTTCTCTCCACCCTTATGATAGGGCAAGGCCTTCACCTCTACTAAGAGCAGAGTCCCAGACCAATGGGCTTGGTATGGGTGTGTGGGTGTGTGTTTAAAAGCTATAAAGCCTTCTTTTCACAGGGAGTGTGCTTCCTTAGCTCTTACAAGGACAATCCTCCCCTTCAATAGGGAGGACTCCTATCAGCTCTAAGTGAGAGCCAGCCAATTGTGAAATTTTCAAAGCAAACATTTACACCCTGGAAATGGGCAAATATTATACATACATACACACATGTGATATTAAGTTTAATCTTTATTATTAAAATTTTCTCCATCACTTTTTCTTATTCAAAAATGTTTCCCAATTGCACGTAAAAACAATTTTTAACATTATTTTTTAAAATTTTGAGTTCCATATTCTCCCCTCGTCCTTCCCTTCTCTCTCATTGTGAAGGCAAGCAATTTGATATGGGTCCTATATGTTCAGTCATGCAAAATATATTTCTATATCAGTCATGTTGGGAAAGAAGTCACAAACCAAAAAAATGAAGAAAAATAAAATAAAAAATGTGCTTTGATTTGCATTCAGACTCAGTTCTTTCTCTAGAGATGGATAGCATTTTTCATCATACGTCCTTCAGAATTATCTTGGATTATTGCATTGCTGAGAAAAGCTAAGTCATTCACAGTTAATCATTGTACAATATTGCTATTATTGTATACTTTGTTCTGGTTCTGCTCACTTTATTTTGCATTAAGTCATATAAGTCTTTCCAGGTTTTTATGAAAGCACTCTGCTCATTGTTTTTTGTAGTGCAATAGTATTCCATTACATTCATATACCACAACTTGTTTAGCCATTCTCCAACTGATGGGCATCTCCTCAATTTCCAAAATTCTAACCTACCACAAAAAGAGCTGCTATAAATATGTTTGTATACATACGTCTTTTTCCTTTTCTTAAATTTCTTTGGGACATAGTCCCAGTAGTGGTATTGCTGGTATGCACAATTATATAGCTCTTTGGGCATAGTTCCAAATTGCTCTCCAGAAAGATTGGACCAGTTCAAACTCCACCAACGTTGCTTTCCCCTGTCTCCTTCTTACCATTTGTCCAACCCCCTTACTGTCTGCAGTCAGAGAGCTCCAGAAACTGTAGCTGCCAGTTCAGTCATTCCTAGGGCCTGCTGCAAGGCCTGATCTGGAACATGCTCTACTTTCACCCTGTGACACAGACCTTTCCTGCTGACCTTCTAAGTTGTCTTGGGTTGGAAAACTGTTTTGCTTCATCCTTTTGTTGGTTCTGCTACTCTAGAATTCATTTTGAGGTTCTATTTTAACATTGTTTAGAAGGGCATTTGGGAGAGCTCAGATAAGTCCCTGCCTTTACTTTGTTATCTTGGCCCTGCCCTCTCAACATATTCTTTTCTCTTCAGTGCTTTCTTAAATCAGAAATGAAAATTTCACGATTTTCTGGCTCTCAGAGCAGGTAGGAGGAACCTTCTTCAGTGCAGATCTGTCCTTTCAAGACTTGAGAAATCACTTTCCCTATAAAAAGAAAGCTTTATAGATTTTAAACATACATCAAAAATACATGAACAAAATCAGAATAAGAAAAATATACTTGCTTAGAAGTTTTTGCTTTGTAGCTTCAAGTAAAAATAACACATATCTAGATAACATTTTAAGGTTTATAAAACACTTTCTACATTTCTGATTTTGCACTTGACTTGGAATATTGTTTCATATACATACTAACTTTGTGACCATTATCAAATCATTTAATTTTTCTGAGCCCCAGCTTCTACTGTAAAATAAGGAGAATTGGACATGAAGGCCTTTCATGCTTCCTTCCAGCTCTAAATATACAATCCTTTGATGCTTTGAGACAGATGGAGCACATTATTCTGGATTTTCAGATGAGGCAGCCAATGTTTTGAGAAATCAAATGACTTACCCGGTGTCATACAAGAAGGGCCAGAGGAATCGTGGAGGAATCTCTTTCCACTACACATTTCTGCTCCTCACACTGACTTGTTCTTGATTTTCAGACATCCTTACACTTATTCCATTTTCTTGAATATAAAATAAAGTAGTACATTGTATTTAGCTTCCCAAATTCTAGAGGTAATTTCAAGCAAAATACAACAGTCATCATTTAAGAGAAACACAACTATGATATCAACATTACGTTTGAGGCTTCTTGAAATCTCTGTCACACCACTTCGGAGTGATAGGATTTCCTTTTTTTTTTTTTACAAGATGTAGTTAGGGATAATGCATAGGTTGGTGTGCCATATTTAAGAAAAAAAACAAAACCCCATCATTGTAATTCAGTGGCAAAAGAAAATTCAAAATGATTCATTTATCTGGTAATTTAAGCATTGCAGAATTAAATATTAGAGCAAAACTCATTCCATCTTATATGTCTATATAAAACATTTTGGGTAACAATGGATCCTTCTGGATAATCAAAGAACCCACATTCAAATATTGAGCTTATGAGGACATTCAAAATAATTTCAATATAACTGGTAAAGATTTGAATATAGAGTTAAATTTTAATACAGAGGATTATAAACTGATCTGTCTCATGTCTGCTATTTGATATGAAAGATATCAACAAAAAAACCCTCTTCTCTGCTGATAGCATTATGCCAACAGATCTTATTATAAAAGAAATTTAAAAGGAAAATAGTTCCTTTTTTTTAGCATGTTCATTATCTTCCAAATCAATCTCCAAGCTCACATTTTATAATCACCTAGTTTTACCTAGAGAAGGAAATGGCAAACTATTCTAGTATCTTTGCCAAGAAAACCCTAAATGGTGTCATGAAGAGTCAGATATGACTGAAACAACTGAGCAACAGCAACAATTTTACTGCTGGACTTCTTATGAAACTACTAAATTAATGTGGCATTTAATTTTTATTTTAGATTACAACTTTACAAGTGGTTCTAAGTACTTTCTGATTTAAAATTTCATTAAATTGACTATATTTCAATAGGTATAAATGTTAGATTTTCATAAAATTATAGTTTTATTAACTAAGCCAATGGTATTAAAATATGAATTTATAAAACATTCATTTGCTTAGTAATTATGATGAGACTTGGGTGCCTTTTATGAATGCTTTATATGTTTTCTAGCTCAAAATCAGCCAATATTAACTCCTTTGCAGGGAAAAGTAGTTTGCCACCTTGTCTAGAGCACCTTTCTTCTATATTCTGTGTTTAAATGAAGACTTATTATTCCTCTACATAGGTCAAGAACTGATTCATATGACACTCATTTGACAAATGGCTTGTCAGAATAACAAAAGTATACTAAGTAGGGGATCTCCATCTTAAGTTAATTAAGTCAGTATGGTAGCTAATATTTACTTGAAATTCTCTGATTTCATAATAATTGATTATCTATTTTAAATTATTTTTCAAAATAGCCTAGCATTCCAAATTCTAAGCTGGCCAAGCCATAGTTCTTTTTCACAGAGCATGGTAGGAAAAAATTCCAAGAGGCTGTATGCATAAGGAAATTTGAAAGGAAAAAAGTCCACGATTTTCAGTCTTTATCCCTTGTTCCTTTTCCCTTCCCACTTTTCCCTTTTATTTCTCTTTTCTTCCACTTTCTCCCCCAGCATGTGACCAGCTTGCACTTGGGGTGGCTGCACTATTTGGCCCATCCCATATCTCTTCAGTCAGTGCTGTACAGTCTATTTGCAATGCCCTTGAAGTTCCTCACATACAGACTCACTGGAAACATCCAACAGCGGATAAAAACGATATGTTTTATATCAACCTCTATCCGGATTATGCAGCCTTCAGTAGGGCTGTCCTGGACTTGATACTCTACTATAACTGGAAAATAGTGACCGTAGTATATGAAGACAACACAGGTATGGGACAACTTAAATTAACTAGGATGTTATCTGACAATATGGTGATATCAAAGTCCCTGCTATTGAAATCCTGAAAGTCAGGTAATCATATACTTGATGGCAAATAAATTTTCTAAATTATTTCCTATATGTCCTAGTCTTTTTTAGCCATTCCTCCTCAAAATATTTGCTTTTTCATTGAAATTCAGTGAGATATTAACAAATAACCCTCTAGGTAAACCTGTTATTTTACTTTTAGTACAAGGTTTATAGAAATGAGTAAGTTTGTCTCTCACTGTTATAACAGTGACTAAAGATTCTGTTCCCAAAATAGGATTATGACACAGAAAGTAAAATTATCTAAATGATTAGGTGAAATTTAGAAGAGACATCTTTAAGAGAAAACAACTACTAAAATTTATTTTAAAGTTAAAAATGAAGCCTACTCCTTTATTGAAAATGGATGTTAGGCATATTCTATCCTAAATTAAAGATATTAATTCTCCTAATTTAATATTAATTCTCATAGATTATGGAAAATTTACAAAAATTTAGTAAAAATTAGTGAAACTTTACATAGTGCTTTAAGATTTGCAAAATGAAATCCCTGACTCCAAGTTCATAGCCCTGTTATTGAAATTAAAAAATTTATAGTTAAAATTAGTTATAACTTCCCTACCATTAACCTTATTTCTCTTGTCCACCTTCATCAAGTACTTACTATTCCCTATATAATGAATATATAATATTGCTATTACTCTTTTGCCTTAAATTTGTTGGACTCATCTTATATATTAAATTTAAAATGTTAAGTTAGTTAAGTTAGTATTCTTAATGTAACAAAAGTTCTTTTCAAAATAGTTCTATTTGTATGAAAAACATTTGTTTTTTATGTAGATTCTATGCTTACTGGAATCACTCACTTGCATTTTTAATCATACTTCACTTTACAAATATTTGAGATGAAAGATACCATTGCATTGTGAACCATTGGATTATGAGCTCAGTGCCTGGCACCTAGTAGATGCTTATTGACTGAACTGTGTTATCCAGAAATCATCATATCTATGAACTCACAGGTGCAGAATACTTTTCCTAAGGATTTCCATAATAACTCTTCTAGGGTTTTTACTCCTACTGTTATCATCCCTGAGAGAGGATCTGCAGAGTACCACATAGTCACTGAAAAAAAAATAAAAAAGGAAACAGAAGGTATTGCATAAGTATCAACTTGGAGATAATTAAATTATGATAATAAGCATAGACCCATTAGTGTGAATTTGCTTGGACCATTTAACACTTTCAGTCAAGTTCGCTGCCTCTGAGACTTCCCAGAGATCCTAATTCCATCCAAGACCTCTGACTCTGGCCTCTTTCTTTGCCCCAGGGCCTTCTATAGTGCTCCAGAAGCCATTTCTGGATCAGACCCATCCCAAATTGTCAACTTTCATCTCTTGTCTAGACTTCCACACATACTTTCTTTTCCTCCTGGGACTAAAATGACACAATATTATTATGTATCATAAGGTTGGACATCAAAGAAGGGCCTTGAACAGTCCAGTCTCATCATGGCTTTCTCTTCAGTCATTAATATTTTGCTAGGACTCATTCCTCAATGGTTATTATACTCCCATCCTGTCATATTCTGCCTATCCCAGAGATTCTAAACACCTGATTGTCTTTATATAAACCAATCTCATCACCAGCTGCAATGACTTTCTCGCTTCATCTTCTTCATCCCTTCAATCTGCTCCCTTCATTGCATCCATCTCAACTCTTCACCAGCCATGTCCCAATCCAATTCTTCTACTTTACTATTTGGAATGCCTGCTTCATTGTTGAGAATGTTGAGAACCTGGCTAGTGACGCAGCTTGTCTGGCCATCCTTTCCTGTTCAAGTCATAGTTTCACTCATTTCCACTGACTCCTTAGTTTTTCATGGGTGAGTCAGAATGCTCCTTGCTCCAGCCCCTCCCTTTAATACCTCCTCTCAGTAGCCCCTCCTCCCTAGAGGTTCATTTGATCTATATTTATCACCCAATAAAGATTCTAGTAGTTCTTATCTACTGAGCCTTAGGACACTCTTATTCCTTAAGAGCCTCACAATCTCTCTTCATTTGAACTCCTGCCTTCAGACTAGAAAACTTCAACAAATATATCAATACTCCCTCAAAAGCTCTACTTCCCAGTTCCTCGACTAACTCATTTCCTATCACTTACCCTTCACTCCACCTCAGCCAGACACAAGAGTGACATCATTGATCTTACTATAATACACTAGTGTTCCACTTAAATGTTAATGAACTGAGAAATTCCACTATCAGAAATAATCTTTCATCATTGTATCTTTCATGCTACTTTACAACCCCTAGCCTCACTCTTCATCTTCACAATATCCTCAAATCCTTCTACTCCTCAATTCCTTCCTAGGGCACCACCTCCACATTGGCTACACTCTCCTTCTATCCCTATCTCAACTCCTTGATGAGTTAGTTCAACTCTAGACTATACTCTTCATTTGTGTTCTTTGCCCTCTTATTCTATTACATGTCAAGCCTTGCCAAGCCCTAACTTTGGATTACCTCCAGCATCCACTGCATTTGCTTATAATCTACTGCTGCTGAGTAGAGCTGGAGAAAAATCATGAAACTGCTGACTAGGTCTACAACAAATTTAGGTTATCTAATATAAACTGGGCTGTCACTGCAGCAAGACAATTCTTTTATATCTCCCTAATTTATTCACTATTCCCCCCACCATAGGGCTTTTTTCATACATTTTCATTGCTTCCCAAATCTTCCATGGGAGCCTTCTCTCCACAGACTCTTAGCTGAGAAATTGACTTGTATTTCACATAAAAAATTGAAGGCATTTGCCAAGAACTCCCTTAAAAACACTTTTTAAAATCCCTATGTGATCTAATCATCCTATCTAGATATCTTCCTATAGTCCTCCCCCCTTTTGTGGCTAAACTCCTTTAAAAAGCCACTTAAAATTGATGTTTCCACTTCCTCCCTTCTTATTGTCTTCTACATTTTCTATAGCCTGGCTTCTGATCTCATCATCCAATTGAAACTGTTCTCTCTAAAGTTATGAAGGGTCTCTTAATCAGCAAATTTAATGAATTTTCCTTAATATTCATCCTTCTTGACCTCTTTTCAATCTTTTACACTGTTGATCACTCTCTTCTCTTTGATATTCTCTTGACTCTAAGTTTTTGTGACACTGCTCTCTCTTGGTTCTCCTCCTACCACAACCTCTCCTCATTTTCTTTTACTATATCTTCATCTAGATCATACCTCATAAGTACAGGGGTTACCCAAGAATTTGTCCTGGACTCTCTTTTTCCTCTACAATATATGGCTTGGTGATCTCATTGCTTCCCATAGATTCAATTATTATCTCTCTGCAGACGATTCTCACAACTATTTACATAACCTCTCTGTTGAGCTGCAATCTCACATCTCCATCTGCTTTAGATATCTCAAACTGGATGTCCTCAAGATATCTTAAATTCAACATGTCTAAAACAGAACTCATTATCTTCTCCCCAAATTCTTTCCTCTTCTGAACTTCCCTCTTACTTTGAAAGTGCCACCATACTCTCAATCTCCCAAGCTCACGATCTAGATTTCATTGTCAATTCCTTACTCTTTCACCCCATATATCCAGTCTGTTGCTAATTCTATAGTTTCTACATTTGCAATATCTTTTATACACTCCCCTTTTTTCCATTCCCACTTTCCACTCCTCCTTAATAAAGCCCTTGCACTTGAATAATTGCAATAGCCTGCTGGTTATTCCCCTCCACATTCTCTATAATCTAGCAACATGGTCATTCCTTGCATACTAAACACCATTTTCTGACTTTACTTTTTCACTATCCCACATACCTGGAATGCTCTCCTCCTCATCTCTACCTCCTGACTTCCTTGGCTTTTAAAATATGAAGGTACATGGAAAGGGGAAGGGGATGAGGTACACAGAAGGAAATGTGTGATGTGTCTAAGTCAAGTCAAGAGCTAGCAATGAGGTGATTCCTGTAGTCTCTCAGGAACAGAAAAGACTGAAGGTGGGTGAGTGAGTGAGAAGGCAAGGTAAGGAATTTAAAAGGAGAAGAGAGAAGCCTTGTTTTGCTGGTGGGAGAGGGTAACTCTAATGAATGCTTCCTTGGGTGAAGAAAGATGTTCTGTGAAGGGAGATGGAGGTCTTGTATTTGGTGGGATTTAGTGCTTTAAGAGACCACTTATTAAGCCTTGGGAAGTGGGGGAGCTCCTGAAGACAACTGGAGCCTAGGGAAGTAGAAGGAGATACACCCAGAAAGGAGATATTTAGGCAAATATTGAAGGAAGATGACAAAAGGGAGGGTCTAAGCCAGTGATGGTTTACATATTCAGAAATATGGGGAGGGCATCCTGCCATGGGGCAGTGTGCTCTTGGTCAACTCCAGAAACTAACATTTTTCTGGGAGTGGCACACAATGAAAAAGGAGAATGTGTGGGGCAAGCTCTACGAGGCAGCAGCAGAAACTACTTAGAGAGGAGAGTCCAAAATGAGGACTGTGGAAGTTCTGACTCCATGAGGAATGCAGAGAATAGATAAGAATCAGATAAGTATAGGGACAATAAACCAGAGGCAGAGAGTCTAGAGTAGATGGAGAGGATGGACAGTGAAGAAGGTACTATAATAATAATTAATTCTATAATTATCAATTCGATAAAATTTACAAATGGATTAAGAAATGAATATCGGTTGTCCCTTCTTCCTTTCCTTTGACTCACTATACCCATTTCCTATTCTTTTCTATTTCCTTTTGACATTTATGCTATTGCATTTGAACATAACTAAATAGGGACCATTCAATTTGTTTCGGTGGAATTAGTTCTCCTAAAAAAAAAAGATTTAAAAAAGTGTCTTCCATCTTCTGTGTTAGTTTTTTTTTTTTCTGAAAGGAATGAAAGTCCTCCAGAAGCATATTTTTCAGGGAGTAAATGCCATGGATAGAAATGTAAATGTGGCTAAGAACTAACCTTATAGAAAGAGGATTTGACACTAAATATAGTTTGTTTATTTTTTTTTACCAGATGTAATCATCATTCACCATTTGTTAGCTTCAATACTTACTAGCTGTGTAACAACTTTAGCCAATCACCATCATGAATCTCAATTTCTCCTCTATAAAATGAGGATAATAATACAATACTTCCAAAGCAAGCATATTAAGATGTTAATAAGTTTCTGTATAAAGCACCAGAGAAGGCTGACAAGATCAGCAGTCAAAAGTATAAAATCTGAATAGTGGCAGCCTGACATATATTGAGAATGACATAACTGATGAAATTGTAGTAAACATTCAACAAAAATTTTTGTTGCATGATTATATGTCATTATCTAGGTCTAATTCGCCTGCAAGAGCTGATCAAGGCTCCTTCCAAATACAATATTAAAATAAAAATCCGCCAACTGCCCTCTGGGAATAAAGATGCCAAGCCCTTGCTGAAGGAAATGAAGAAAGGAAAGGAGTTCTATGTGATATTTGATTGTTCATATGAAATGGCAGCTGAAATACTTAAGCAGGTAAGGTGGATATGAAGGAAGTAGGCATTTGAGGGAAATATTCATTTCTCATTCTCAAAGAGGCTATTTAGTTTTAATTTACTACAAATTATACATGTGGATTTGATTGAGGATATCAGTTATTAAAGCCATTGTAAAGAGCAATGAAACTAAGGAAGTTCAGTAGATTTTTACTGAATTATATGTCTGTTGATAAGTCATATTCGCATGTAATAGGAAATATTTGGGACTATGTTTTTACAAAATTTATCTTATTTTTAATTTATGGAATAAAACAAGCATTTCTATAATATGGTACCATAAAAAAGATGATTGCACATGAAACTGCAAATCTACTATGCACAACTTGCTATTCCTTTCAATTATGAAACAAAATTATCAGGTAAATTTCTTTTTTTTCTTTCCCACCTCTCCATCACCCTAGAGATAGCTACTATTAGACACAAATACACACACATACACACATACAAAATTATTCTATACATGCTACATACATACATACTATTCATATCAGTTCTTTCTCTGGATGCAGATAGGGTCTTTCTTCATATATCCTTTATAGATAATTTGGGTATTTATAATAGAATATTTATAATATATAATATTTATAATTTTTTACTCAATCACTCAACACAATACTGTTGTTACCATATACAGTATTCTCTTGGTTCTGCTCATTTCACTCTTCATTATTTCATGCAAGTCTTTCCATGTTTTTCTGAGATGATTGAGCTCATCATTTCTTCTGGCACAGTCGTATTCTGTCACAATCGTATAACACAACTTGTTCAGTCATTCCCAAATTGATGGGCATCTCTGCAATTTCTGGTTCTTTGCCACCACAAAGAGAGCTGCTGTAAACATTTTAGAATATATTGGTTCTTTTCCATTTTCCCTAATCATCTTTGGAAATAGACCTAGTAGTGGTATAGCTGGGTATGGGTAGTTTAATAACTCTTTTGGGCATAATTCCAAATTGCTCTCCAAAGTGGTTGGATCAGTTCACAGTTTCACCAACAGTGAATTAGTGTACCAATTTTTTCACATCTGCTCCAATATTTATCACTTTCCCCTTCAATCATTTTAGCTGATCTGGTAGGTGTAAAATGATATTTTAAGGTTGTTTTAATTTGCATTTCTCTAATCAATAATTATTTTAGAGCACTTTTTCATATAACTATAAATTGTTTTGATTTTTTTCACTGGAAAACTGGTTGTACATATCCTTTGACTATTTATCAGTTAGGGAATGATTCATATTCTTATAGGTTTGATGCAGTTTACGTATTTGAGATACGAGATCTTTATCTGAGAAAGTGTCTATAAAATTTCCCTCCCAACTTTCTGCTCCTTCTGATCTTGGCTACATTTGTTTTACTTATACAAAACTTTTTTTAATTTAATGTAATTGGAATTATCCATTTTACACCTAACTTTGCTTTCTATCTCTTGTTTATTTATAAATTTTTCACCTATGCATAAGTCTATAAGTAATTATGTTGCATAATCTTCTAATTTTCTTGTAATATTTCTCTTTATATCTAGGTCATGTATCCATTTTGACCTTACCTTGGTAATTGGTATAAGATATTGGTCTATGCCCAATTTTTGCCATATTGCTTTCTAGTTTTCCCAACAATTTTTTCACCAAATTATGAATTCTTATCCCCAAATCTTAAGTGTTTTTTGGGGGCTATATTTGTAAAAAGGGAGTTGAGTCATTAAGAAATTATAAATTTCTGAATTCTGCTGATGAATAAGAAATTATTTTATTAATTTCTTTTTTAGACATGCATTTACTTTTAAAAAGTAAGTCAAAGTACTTTTAAAAGTACATCATGCTTATTGCAAGTAGTAACATTTCTAGAACTATATGAAATAATAGAATGAGTATAGATTGTCTATGCCTTCAGGTTCTTCAGGTTTTCCCTCTTCAGATTCAAGTAATTCATTCATTCCTAGTCTCTTTCCATTTATTTGGGTTTAGGTATAAAGTGATTTCATACAATTTCCCTGAATTTAATGTTAATACATTGTTAGGTATTTTGGAGCTGAAGATATCATTGACAAAAAACAGCATGCATTCTTTTGCTTAAACTATTAATATCTGTTTCTAGTCTTGTTACATGTAATAACTTTTCTATCTTAAAAAAAAGTACATCACAATAATTTGACTATAGCCTTTTTCCCAGTGAGCCTTTCCTCAAAATGATGAAAAAGAACTAAGCAAATCTTGCTGAAAAGAGTTAACCAGTTTGACAGTGTGTACACTATTCCCAATCCCCAGATTCCCACCTCTATAGAAAAAGGAAGTATATCTGTCCTTCATGACTAAAATTTGTCATTGCAATCAATTTGAATTGTGCAGCATTTTAGTCAAGTATATTGTTCTCCTACTTTTTTTTTCACAAGACATTAATTCATATCTATCTTTCTATGTTTCAGTTCTTCAAATTCAGCATTTCTAGTGATCCTATAGGGCAAAAAGGATGTGGGATTAGAATTTCAAAAATTTCACAAAACAGCCCGGGAAACTAGCTAGATTAGGGCATTCTAATGAATTATGATAACCATCTATCAAGTTACACATTGGGCTTTGTAGCACTCTGAGGTCTGAATATGTGTGTCTATTGTTATATATTATAAATTAGGATCATGTCTGGACCAGCTAAAATGAAATTTTCCATGTGCACATTTTTTTTGCTGTCATATTATACTGTTGACACATATTGAATTTACAATCCACTAAAATCCTTCAGATTTTTTTTTCAAAAGTAGTTGAAGTACTGTTAGCATAGAAGTATAGTAGTTAGTACTATGTAACTGTTCTTCCTCTATTCTGTGCTGGTGAGGATGATTTATTGACTTCACATTTATCCTTTCTAAATTTTACCTAATTAGATTTAGACCAATGCTTTTATGTATCTTTTTTCAATCACAATTGGGCTGTCTAATGTGTTAGCTATGCTTTCAAGACTTTTTGTCATTGTACGTTTGAAGGTCATACCATATATACATTTACTCAATAACAGATTAAAAATGCTAGTCAGTCAGACAGTCAGTCAATAAGCCCTTATTAAGTGCCTACTATGTGCACTTGCACTAAGTAATAGCATACGAAAAGAAGCAAAAGACTGTCTCTGCCCGCAAAGAGCTCACAGTGTAATGGGGGAGACAACAAACAAACATATAGAAACAAGTTATATACAGGATAAATAGAAAATAAATAACAGAGGGAAGAGAGTTTGGAAAAAGCATTCTGTATAAAATGGGATTTTAGCCGGGACTTGAAGAAATCCAGGAAAGACAGTAGGCAGAGAGGGGGAAGAAGAACGTCCCAGGCATGGAAGATAGGTTGAGAAAATGCCCAGAACCAAGAGATGGAGTGTCTTATTGGTGGAACAGAAAGGCAACTGGTGTCACTGGATAAAAGAGGATATGCCAGGGAGGAAAGAGTAAGAAGACTGGAAAGATATGGAGGAAGGCTAAGTTATGAAAGTCTTTGATGCCAGAGGTGATAGGGAGCCAACTGGAGTTTAATGAGTAGGAAGGTGATATGGTCAGACCTATACTTTAGAAAAATCACTTTGATGGCTATTGGAAGATGGATTGGAATCGGCTATTTCCCTGCAGCCAAGTGAACCTAGAAGAGGGAGTCCACCAGAGGTGACCTGGAATGAGTAGTTGTGTCTCGTGCTGTAACTTCTTACAGCTGACAACAATTTCCCCTGAGTGCTAATATAAGAACAAGATTGATTAATCCTATCACAAGCTATAGTAAGAATATTTAAAACCATAGGCTAATTTAAAGTAGAGATTTATATGTCACTAAAGTAACCAAGAAAACTCAGCAAACATAAAAACCATAAACAAAAAGCCAAAATAATACTATAATGATCATTGCTATTAAATAACATCAAGTCTTCTTGTGTCCTAGTAACCAACTCCCAATGTCCATTTACTAGGCACATTTCATCTTGGATCCCAGATGTCGCATGTAGTCATCTGGTTCCTGGAAGCATCTTCTCTTGGACATTCTGAAATAGGTCTCATTCTCAGAGCATCTCTTGAAAGGAGCTCCTCTTTGAAGATCTGCTTCTCTGGTTCCAAGTCACTTATAGAAGTTCCTAATCAATTCTACTAAAATCTGCCAGTAATACAATTTAGTACAGCATTCTAAATTTGCTTTTCCAATAATGGTTCATGTGGTGAAAACCTTATGCTTTTAATTATTAACAAAAGAGCTATATGAAGAACAGCAAATTAGGAACCCATAATTTGCCTGAAACATCAGAGAATTTCAGTTTTTTATATATCACTTGCTGTTTTTATTTTTACCTAAACCCTATATCTAATATAGATACTACCAACTGTGGAAAGGATTTTTAAAAGCCTGAAGGAAGAATAAAAAAAATCTATGAGTACATGAATTGTAAAATAGGTTTTTTGTTCTCTTAAAATTATCAGATAGATACTTCAAATAGGAAAATAATTTAACCCTCTTCACAATTATCAATATAATTTTATATGTAAAATCCTTAATACAGTGTAGAAGACATTACTAAGACACACTTGGAGCCTGAATCTCTCACTGGAAACATTTGAAAGCCAATTATATACATTTACACATTGCAGAAAAAACAGTCTGATTCTGTTGTATTCTTAAAGTTTACTACTCTGTTTAATTAAAACAAAACCTTTTACATATTTATCTAATTAGAAAATTTTTTCATTTTTGTCTTAACTCCTTCCTTAGGAGAACATTATCGCCACATCATCTTGAAAGCATAAGATATTTCAAGGACCTATTTTATATAGGTGGTGCAGTGCATAGTGCTCTGGCTCTGGAGTCAGGAGGACCTGAGTTCAAATACCACCACAGACACTAGCTGCGTGACCCTTGGCAAGTCACTTCACCCAGTTTGCTTCAGTTTCCTCATCTGTAAATGAGCTGGAGAAGGAAGTGGCAAACTACTTTAGTATCTTTGCCAAGAAAACCC